GGAATGTAATATATGTTTTTTCTTAGTAGAAACAGTAAAGAACTCTGAAAAGAACACAGCATCTCTGTTAGAAAAAAAGGCTCACATTTATCTATTTTGAGGTCTTTTACAAGTGGAATTACCATTAATAACGTTATAAACATATAATCCAGATATACACATTTGTACCCAGCATATCTACAGGTCACATGCAACCACAACAGCAGTGCAGCAGAGCAAGGTGAAAGGAARGCAGAGTGCTGGAGCTGTAAATAAAGATCACCTTTGAAATATTTAACCCAAAATTTCAGTATYCTCAATAGTCACAATGTGGTTTTTYAGTGTAAAATTCTGCTTAAAATATGGCATTAATACATTAAACAAAAAGATGGAAGAAATGGAAGCAGGCACTGTGCTTTTCTACATCATCATCATCGTTTAACACACGACAAGTTTTGGTTGAAAATAACCAAAATTGGGATAACTTCAGGTGGAAATGTTCCACTGGACTTCTGGTGGAGTAAAATAACTTCTGGTTTTCAGTTTATTGGAAGATTTGAAAACAAAAWCTGTGACAGCTSAGAGTGTGCTGAGAGTTCAACCTCKGCTGTKCCTGCTGGGACCTTGGGTAATGACTGCTTTGAAAAAATACTTGAAAATGAGCTCTGGCAATTTAATTTCAGGATTTACAGCAGGTTTGGAAGAAATCTCCCTCTGCAAATTGCTGCCATCAACAAGGCAGCACCTTCTGGGACTGCCAGTGGGAAAGCCATCTCTTCTAAAATGGTTAGCAGCCTTCTGTGGATACGTATTTTTAGTCTCAGATTTATTTTGTAACCTTATTGCCTAGCCATACAGGTGTTCAGCTCATTTTGCAAGAAAAAAAAAAAAAATCAGTGACTATCAAAGTATTTATTTCTCTCAGAGTAAGGCACGAGGAAAATGGGCACTGTCCAGTCCAAATGAAGATTGAGCAGGGAAAGCCTGGGTGAGAATGCAGCTGCATTATTGYTTTCTGACTAAAAATCTGCATTTTCTGTGTGTTTGAGAGTCTAGACAGCATTACTCTTGTTTTATATTCAGTTTGTTATTTTGTTTTTCTGTGGACACATCTGTGGTAGAAAGACAGCTCGAGAGACAAAACCCCAAATCCTTCTCTCCTTGGGCTTTTTTCCCCTGTGCTCTTTAATTCCCCTGTAACTCAGCCATCAGGCACCTTTTAAAGATCCGAGCTGCAGSATTTGCAGGCAGGGTGACCTCGTTGTGCAGCTGATTCTGAGCAGTTCAGACCAGTGAATTTCTCCAGAATCCTCTCCCGTTTTCCCGGGATTACTCTGAGCTGGGGGAGGCRGCAGAGTCCAAATCCTCCGTGTCCTGTTCGTGTGGAGGCACTGCCTGCCCACCTTTCACACGTTTCCACTTCATTCTTCTGTTTTGGAACCACACTTTGACCTGGGGGAGAAAAAGGAAAGAATTATTTCTTGCCTTGAGCAAAGCTGAACATTTATGTGTGCATCAACAGRGAGATAATTTTGGGAATTCTGGGGGAAAAGGTGAACAGAGCCCCACRAATTTGGCTGATCCACCTCTCTAACATAGATGGAACAATTCTTTCCAAAATGCTGCTCACAGATTTTCCTCTGAAACCCTCAAAGGTGGTGCAGGGTTCTGTTTGCCTGGAGTCTSTGTCAAACAAGCATTCAACAATTCCTCTCGTGGATTTTTAACASCCAGGCCATCCAATCTAATGCTTCAGAAATTTTAATTTTCCTCACATAATTATGCAGTTCTTCTACAGTTCACTTGGCCTTGATGAGGAAATCTGGATGGAGATAGCAGAAATAGCTCTTTCCACAAAACTCTGCATATTTACCTTTTCTTACCACCCCAAAACACCACCTGACCCAGCAATGCAACTCATGGATCAAACACTAAAAATTATCACTCTGATAATTTCCTGTCAATCACAGTCTGGGGTGATATTTATATTCCACATGGAAGCCTTGATATATCAATATTTACCAATGAATGGTGATAAACAATATCTCACCAGAGAGCAGCTATTACCAAATCTATAGTTTAGATAAATAGAATTTAATTTATTAATCTAATAACAGAAACGTGCCACAAAAGAGTTTGGAAGGATGTGGAGGCTTTGTTTTAAAATACCTCCGTGCCACTGCAAAAGCAGAGCCTCGAGTGCCATTTCTGTTTTTTAGGGAGCATTTTTGGGGAGAGGAAGAAGGAGAGGAGGGTTTGGCACGTACTTGTCTTTCGGTGAGGTCCAGGTTGACGGCGATCTCGTATCTCCTGAGCCTGGTCAGGTAATTGTGGTGGGCAAAYTCAGCCTCCAGCTCCYGCAGCTGCTCCTTGGTGAAAGCCGTGCGTTCCTTGCGGGATTTGCTGCTGCTCTCTGCCTCGCGGCTGCGGTTCTGCGGCTCTGGGAGACAAATACACCCGGGTAAATCGGGGCTGTGCTGATGGGAGGGAGCACCATGGGCAGGGGGAGAGATTTCATCTAAAGAACTCAGTGAAGTGCTCAGTGGAAGCTTGGAAATGTGTTCTTTGTGCCCCCCCGAGCTCGGTTGTGTCCTATTTACCCAGTAATTATTGTTTAATATTGCTCTTATTTTATTTATTATTTAATATTATTTTATTATTTTTTATAATTATTTTATTATATAATTTATTATCTTATATACAGTCATATATTTAATATATTTTGTATATAACATAAATAACATATATTATATTTATATATTTAATATATTTGTATATAACATAAATAATATATTTTATATTATATTATAATTATAATTATATTATATTACATTATATTACATTATAGTACATTATATTACATTATGTTATTCATTATCATATATTATTCAATATAATTCAATATTATTCTATATTATTCTTTATAGAACGTATATTTTATATGAAGTAATTATATAGTATATAATATTATATATAATATTATTAAAAATATGATATATAATATATAATATGTATTATGTGACATGTATTATCTATTATTATATAGTATATAGTATATAGTATATACCATATACCATATATTACATATCATATAGTATATAGTATATAATATTATATGATATATTGTATATAAATGCAAGTTATAATTTTAGTATGTTATATTATATTTGTTTTATATATTATATTATTTTATTTATTGCTATTAATTATTGCTATTATATTGCTGATATTATATCAGCATAATATCATCATAAACGTGCTTGGAACTAATTTACATAGGATTACTTTATGGTTATAAATAATTTTCTGTRCTGCGCTTGTGCTTTTTTAATTTAGGTGGTTCTGGGGGTCTTTTTTGATGAAGGTTCAAGGTTTTCTTTGCATCTGAACTTTTCAACTTTTTTTTTTTTCAGAGCATGCGCAGTTATGGGCTTTTTGGAGTTAATCAGTYTAAATTTTTTWTCTTKTGCCCAATTTGCTTTACATTTGCCAATTTTTCATGAGTGCATTTTGCTGCTTTCCAATTAACTACACATCTATTTTTCAGAGTTACCCACCTGGCGAGTTTTCATTTGTTTAAGCATTAAGCAACCAGTTAACTACATTTGGCTATTACATTATATGAAAAAGTTATCATTTAAATTATAGAAGTATTAAAATTAAAAATAAATAAAGAAAAATTAAATACATTAATATACATTAAAAACATATTAACATATATTAATTTAACATATATATTTATATATATAATATACATAAATATATATAAATAATATATATAAATATATATAATAAAAACAAGAATAATATATAATAAAAACAAGAATAATATATAATAAAAACAAGAATAATATATAATAAAAAAAACCTCAACTATAATTCAAATTATATAAATATTTAAACATTATCATTCAAATTACACGAATATTTTATAAATCAAGCTATAGAAACATCTTGTAACTTTAACCTAAGTTATATAAGCATCAAATGTTCTCGTAAAAAAATGACCGATCTGATTGAAGACTTTTTACCCCAAACAGTGGCAGCTCAAAATACCAAAGTGGCTGTCACCAAGGAGTTAATGGAGCTGGTGCGGTGTCCCCATCCTGTCACCTGCGCTCTGCCCCAGCCCCGATGTCACAATGTCACAATGTCACATCACCCACCTGCGCTTTCCTTCCTCCTTTTCGATGGCTTTTTCTCAGCGCTGATTTCAGGAACAGCATCATCCTCCTCCCCCGCGGCCGCTGCGCTCGCTGGGCTGGGGCTGCTGCGCTCTGTCCCCGCCGATGGCAGTGCCAGCCCGGGGTGATGTCCCCTCCCTGTCCCGGTGCCCGCCCGGTGCCACTCCGGCTGCTGGAACGGAGGATGCTCCTCGTGGGGAAAGCTGTGCGGAGCTGCCACCGGGCAGGAGGATGAGAAATCGGGGTACGGAGCCAGCTCTGCCTTGTGCTGGAAGGAGAAGGGCGCTGCTGGGAAGGGGCTGAGCCCCGGAGCTGCGGTGACATCGCCGGGAGAGCTCCTCAGACAGCCCCAGAGAGCGCTGGGGGGCTGCGGGATGCGCATGCAGCTGCTGGGATCCATCTGCTCCAGGGCTGTGGCCCTGCCCGGGCACAGCTCAGCCTTCCGGAGCAGCCAACAGGGGCAAACTCTTCAGAATGGTCCAGAATT